CCTGGTGGGAGTGCTCAGCCCGTCGCTGTAACCTTGTGGTCAATTGTTGCTAGCAACTGTTACTTCACTTGCTTTTTAAAAAAGGAAACTAATATCCTCTCCAGAGAAACTGATGTTTCCTCTCAGCACCCCCAACCCACCCCTCCCCAGTCCCACCCCCCATGGCAAGTGTTCAACCCACCCTTTCCCACGTGAAAGGGGCTGTCCGCCCCCGCCCCCCCGGGGGTGGAGAGAGAGGCGCTTCTCATCCTTGTAGGTCCCGCCACCCTCCCCACAGCGAACAGAGGGGGCCTCCCGTAGAATCATCTGGGAAATTGACTTGGTTTTTGGAAGCGAGTCTGTCCTCCAGGAGGTCGGGAGGCCTGGTGCAGAGGCCAGCCTTGTCTTTGTTCCCAGAAGCTCTCGCTCCCTCCCTGGTTAGAGATGTCCTCTCCCACTCCCTGTGCTTGCTCTGGTGAGAAAAAGCTTCCTTCTAGCTACGTCCCCCCGCCCCCCTCCAAAGAGGGAGAGTCCCACTTGTGTCTCTTGCTCTTCCAAGAAAAATAAATACCCCTGAGAGCAGGACCCTTTTCTGCTGTCTGTCTAGAGCAGCTCCGGTGGCTGGTGGCTGCTTTTCTCTTCCTCTGAAAAAGGAGCCCCAGTCTTTCCTGCGGGGAGCCCGTCCTTGGGAGAGGAGCGTCCCCCCTCCGTCCCTCCCTCCCTCCCCGGTGGGCACAGGGGCGCTTCTGCATGCAAGTGAAGGGGGTAAAGGGGCGCAGTGCGGGTGCTGGTGAGGGTTCCTGCGCTCCGCGTTGGAGAGCGGGGCCCTGTCCGTGGGTGGGCTTCCCTGCCCCACTTTCAGTTTGTGTGGAGATGGGGTTCAGAGACCCTTCTTTCTCTGAGCCTGGAGAAGAGGCCCTTCTCCGAACTCCCTCCTGGAAGGGTTGGCTGCAGTGTCTGATCGCTGGCGGAGAAAGCCCCTTCCTCAAGGTGCAAGGAGGGTGGGGAAGGTCTGAGGCCCATCATCATGGCATTGTGAGCGCCCGGTGTTACTAGCTGTTCTTTCCGTTCAGGCAGCCCCTTTACATTTGGAGAGAAAGGGAGGGGAGACCTTCAGCCTTGGGATTATTGGGGCACATGGTTTTCTGTCCTGCTGTTTTCTTTGTGTGATTCCTTCTCCCCCCCCCCCCCCATTTCTTTTCTTAGTGCTACAAACTTTGTACTCCCAGAACTTTTGTTTGGGGGGCTGTCGGAATGACTAAAGTGGACATGGCCACTCTGTCAGGTTTTCAGTATCATAAACGTATTGAGATGGGGAGCTGCAGCGTTCTCTTTCGCTGGTTGTCTCCCCACCACCAGAGCTGTTGTTATTGGGTGGGATAGGAATGAACACTGCCAAGGTGCCCAAAGACACCTTAGATGCTTTCATCGTTTTTGTATGTAAAGTGTTCTTAAATTACCCTCGTTTGCTCTTGAGTAGTGCAGTGGGATTAGTCTGAGCTCTGTACTACCATTGTGGATGCCTTGGGTGTGCTTTACTGAAACAGTGAAATAGAACAGTTTTCTTTAGAGTTACGGGATTTTTATGGGGGGCAGGACCTTTGAGATTGTTCTGTTTAATTTGTTAACTTTACACGTGAAATACTAGCCTAAGGAAGTTAGGGACACACTCCAAGCCTAGCTGCCAGCAAGTGCATGACAGGATAGGGACCCTGGTCGCCCCACAGGAAAACCAGCATCTAGACTGCGTCCCACACCGCTTCTGCATTTGAGACAAAGATCCGGGCATATTTGTTCTCAATTCAAAACAATTTCTTCTTTTATTGGAAGAATTCTACTGTATACTCCCTATAAATATCAGTCATTTTTTTCCTCTCGGAAAAAAATCCATTCTTTAAACAATCGAAACCTTATTTATGTTATGGTAAAGATGAAGCCAATAGCAGCTGATAAGAGTTGTTCCTGAGTCTCTAGGTTATTTCTTGCTTATACCTCATATTAGACAATTATCTGGTATCCTTACCTACAAGGTTGGTTATAAGTCATTAGCAAGGATTAAATCCTAAATCCCTATCTACATTTTATAAGCATGTGTTACTCTTTCCTCTTACTTGAAGTTTATTGAATATTTAATGTAAAAACTTTGTGGTTGAAGTAGAGAGCTGACATTTGGGGTGATACTGATAAAGGCATAATACAGTTACAGTTATTTATTGCTACATATTTGGGTCTTGGGAGATAATGTTTAAAAAAATTCAACATATGGAATGCATACTCGTTGTAAAAAAGGAAAAAGTACAACAGATAATGAAGTCATTCATGATTCCATCACCCATCACTGTTTTCATCGTCCATCATTCCAACGCCCATCATTCCATCACTCTTGGGCTTATATTCTTTCAAACATTTCCTATATGCATATATATTTTCCCTAAATAAAGGAGTCCTGATGTTTATGTAGTTTGATAAGATATTTCAAGCAACTTTCTGTGTAGAACTATATTTCTTTACCATTTTAAATTACTCCATTGTATTCAGAGATTTCATTTTAAAGAACTTGAATGGTAAATTTTGGGGTATTTTCCTGCAGTCTTGTGGCATTACCAATAACTTAATAGATGGCAAAAATTGAGAGAAGAGTTTAGTGATGCAAGCTAGTGAGCTGAGAATGATTTTGTACTGCTGCTCGAGGCTTGCATCTAAATATTACTCCATCTCTGAGGGTTCCAGCCAAGGCACTCAGCTGTTCCTGGTGACTCAGTTGCAGATACGGCTGAGAAACTGGAGGACCCACAATTGGGCAAGGAGAGAAAGGAGGGATTGTCTGTTTTGCTTCCACAGCCAATGTGCCTCATTGTTTTACAGATTGCAAATTCTAAGAATTTTGTCTCTACCAAACATGAGCATCAAGAGATGATGTGTTGTTTGGTTTTTGTTAATTGGAAATTACCTTTTGGTGACCAAAGCATTTAAAATTGAGTTGTAGCCAATGTGAGTTTACAGTGTATATGGAGCCATAAGAAAGGGAAAGATACTCTATTCTCTGAGGAATATTTTGAGCCATTTTATGTGATTATCAATATTGCCTCTTTGTGATAAAGATGTATTTTTGCGTAAGTTCGTGTTCAGAACAAAATCTTGAATTAGGACCATGGGGGCTGAAAGGAGTGGGATTTGTTAGAGACACTGCTGGATTTGAGTCCACGAAGTCAAGTGGAAGGTCTGATAAAGTTCAAGTCTGAGCTCTAGGATAATGGGGATGTCATTACTGAGATGCTGGGTTATTAAAAAACAAACAAAAAAAAAACTAAGGGCACCCAGTGGATGAAATCATAGGAACATGAATAAAACATCCAGCAGTTTGGAAAACCAAGAGAAAGGCAGAAAGGCCCAGAGTGAGAGGACCTGTCTTCTGTCCTCAGCCCCCAGCTTTGGTCCAGATGGCACAGGGGAGAGGATGGGACCTGTGCAAGGAGGAACGATTGTCAGCACAGGAGTATTCACAGTGGGTGCTCCTTCCCTGGGAGGCAGAGCACGGACGTCTGTGTAAGTGACATCAGCGGGCTCCCGAGATAATCAAGGTAGGAGTAGAGACAGGGGCCAAGGAAACGGGGTTGTGAGGATTTACATGGTGTGCTGCTGGGAGTCCCTGCTGCTCAGAAACCTGGTGTGGTCAGTGAAGAGAAGGTGAGACCATTCAGTAGCCAGCACTGGACCTTACAGGTGTGTAACATGTTTATTTGGGGGAAGCTGGACGTTAGGAACCGGGGAGGAGGAATTGGCTGGCTTTCTGAAACATCCCTTCTTTGCTCTGTGCATTTTGGCCTAAGGGATGTGCCATCAATACCTCCAATTAATCCTTGTAAGGAACTGAGTTGCCAACTATTTCTCATCTTTCCTCTCCTTGTTTAGGGTTAGGGAAAGCATCAGAATGAAAGCATGCAGTATCTTATGTGGTTAATCAGCTTCTATGTTGGTCAGGTCACAGTGAATTTTGTGGAAACTGCACACATTATTGGTAGACTAAAATGGAAAACTTACCGGTCAGGAAACCCTGGTTGTGAGTGTACCATTTTCTAGCTCTGTGTGAGTGCATGTGTGTGTGTGTGTGTGTGTTGACCAATGATATAATATTATGACCTACATAGATATAAATATTATTTCAGCAAATAAGCTGTGTTTCCATTACCCAATGCAAAAAATTAAACATTCCCATTTCAAATGAAGTCCCCTGGGTATCCCCCTCCTTCCTCTCAGATAACCATGTAATATTGTAGGCAGGTCATTTTTAACCTCTTCAGGTGTGATTTTAAAATCATAAGATGATAGCTGCCCTACTTAGCTCACAGGGTTATTGTGAGAATCAAGTGAGTGGTGACTGTGAAGGCACTTAGAAAATCTCAAGATGCTGAATAAAGGTCAGGAAGGAACCTGCAAAAGACCTGGTTTAGTAGTGTCTCGTGCCAGCCTGGGTAGGTACAGCTCAAGTGTTTGGTAAGCAGTGAAGGAACGGAATTCCATTTTCTCTATATCTTCTTTGAGAAAGTACAGGGTGTCCCCAAAAATGTATATACACTTAACAGCTGATAGCTCAATTGATGTTTCTTTCTTTTCATATTTAATCCATTGGGGTTAATAATTATTCAAAGCTGTGTACATTTTTGGGGACACCCTGTATCTTAATAAAGAAAAGCCAGTGATTCATATTCTTCAGAGTCCTTCGGTATATGTTCATTCAGCAATTATTTACTGAGTACCTACTCTGTGTCAAGTACCTATTCCAAGCAGTGGGGATATAGCAGTGAACAAAATGAGCAAAGTTCATGCCTTTAAAACAAAGTAGAAAACTTTTGATCCTTTTTTAAAATATATTTTTTATTGATTTCAGAGAGGGAAGCAGAGGGAGAGAGAGATAGAAACATCAATGATGAGAATCATTGATTGGCTGCCTCCTGCACGCCCACAACAAGGCATGTTCCCTGACCGGGAATCAAACCAGGACTGCCTGGTTCATAAGGTCGATGCTCAACCACCGAGACACACCAACCAGGCCTGTTTTGATCTTTTAATTTACATCATTTGTTTTCCACAAAGTCAGTCTATTAAAGACAATTTTTTTAATGCCAGATAATGCCGGCATTTGAGTTAGAATTTATTGTCCTTATTTTTGCCAGGTTGAGCTGAGACAGCTTTCTTCAACCCTGCAAAGTTTTAAACTTTTATCCCTTCCTTTGATTTGTGTCAGGGTGAACCGTTTGATGTAAGACTTGACTCCATAATCTACATCTGCCCTAATGCTGTCATCCGGAATAGAGACTCAGCCAGTTCCACTTGATTCCTCCATGTCTGCCGTGGTACAGGAATTATACTCGGAACTCCCAGTAAGTGTCTCCAAAGAGCTTCATGCTGACCCTGAGCCAAGTGTGATTCCAGATGTAAAACCTGGAGCCTCAAGCTCTCTTATAAGTCAGAGTAGGACAGTGCCCTTGGAGCTGCAGAGGACTCACGCAGGAAGTTGTGAAGAAACCTCTGAGACCGCGGATCATGGGGGAGAGCCTGGGCGGTGTGGGCTGGTGGACTCCACAGCAGGAGGCTCTGTGGCTTCTGGGATCTTGGATAGGGAAGAGAAAACCGAGAGCATGGAGCTACAGGTCTTCAGAGATCGAGGGGACCAGGTGGAAATTGTAAGAGACCCCTGTCAACATTCCACAGCCTCTGAAGAAAAGATCAGCCCAAGTCAGGTAAGAGATGAGATGTTGATTCAGATGAGTTGAATATGAATGACAGCTTTCCAGAGTCACACTTCACAGGATAAAGTGTAGGTGCTGACAGGTAGCTTATGATTTATTCTTGAAACATTTCCAAAATGTTGATTTTGGTGTTAACTTTTTTGGATGATCTTTTAAGATATTAGACCCTTGCAGAGAGGAAGTGCTTATTTAATGAAAAAGTGTCACTTCTTTGAAGCAGCTATTGTATATGAAATAGTGAGTCTTTTTGTGATAGTCATGGTATTTCTGTATCTGATGTTAAGAAATTATGTGTACTTGTCCCTTAAGTTAGGGTAGTATCCTGATTAGGGATAGCGTTGTGGAGTAAGATGTCACAGAGATATCTTTGAGGGAGGCTGTTGCCTCCCGCACGTGCCCTAGGTACATGCCCTTGATGGGAATCGAACCTGGGACCCTTCAGTCCACAGTAGGTGCTGACAGGTAGCTTATGATTTATTCTTGAAACATTTCCAAAATGTTGATTTTGGTGTTAACTTTTTTGGATGATCTTTTAAGATATTAGACCCTTGCAGAGAGGAAGTGCTTATTTAATGAAAAAGTGTCACTTCTTTGAAGCAGCTATTGTATATGAAATAGTGAGTCTTTTTGTGATAGTCATGGTATTTCTGTATCTGATGTTAAGAAATTATGTGTACTTGTCCCTTAAGTTAGGGTAGTATCCTGATTAGGGATAGCGTTGTGGAGTAAGATGTCACAGAGATATCTTTGAGGGAGGCTGTTGCCTCCCGCACGTGCCCTAGGTACATGCCCTTGATGGGAATCGAACCTGGGACCCTTCAGTCCACAGGCCGACGCTCTATCCACTGAGCCAAATTGGCCAGGGACTCTATTCCTTTTTAAAACCATCTCTTTTTTCCCTTCCAACTCCACCATAGGTAAATACAGTGGAACCTCGGTTCTCGAACTTAATTTGTTCCAGAAGTCTGTTTGAGAAGTGATTTGTTCAAAAACCGAATCATTTTTTCCCATTAAAAAGAACATAAATTGAATTAATCCGTTCCAGACCCCCAAAAGATTCCCTGTTTTAACCTTTCACAATTTCCTGTGATTGTTGTCTTGTGAGCACTTTCACCCCTTCGTAGCATCAGCACTCTTGGTAGCCTCTTTATGTTTTAAAATTGTGCTAATCATTGGTTTTGCCATGCCATACTCGGTAGCCAGATCAGACACGGTCTACATACTTTGCAATTATTTCTTTTTTAAGCTCTATCACAACTTTCCTTTTCACTTTGCTCCTATCACTAACTTTCTTAGGACCCATGGTGACTTATTGTACATATTTAATAATAATAAGCAACAACAAAAGCAAAAAACCCCACAAAATATTCACAGCACAATTTCCTGAGATGCTAACAACATGAGGTTTAGCAGTAACCTGACTCATATTCATGCATTCACTCCTTTGTTTGTTGCCTGACAAGCGTGTGACTGAGCATACAGGTATCAGCATGAACGGGTTGTCAGGTTGAGAACCGAAGTTTTGTTCTACAACTAAGACATTTTTTCTGTGAAAAACTTGGTCAAGAACCGAATTGTTTGAGATGGGAGACATCCGAGAACTGAGGTTTGACTATACTATAATTAATAGTAATAAACGTAAGATTTTGTACTTGATTTCATAAATTGAACTCACAAGTGAAAAAAAGCAGTATTTTTTGGAGAAACAGAAGACCTACAGGTTTTAGCTGGTCACTTAGAATTAACTTTGTGGTATGGCTGCCAAGGAAAGCCAGTTTGCTCTTAATATACATGAACAGAAATGTGTTCCCTGGGCTGAGGTGGTGCTCTGTTGTCTTCTGGCTAGCCTGTAGCTAGAGTATCATACTCACAGGGAGTCCCTTCTCCCCCGCAGCACTCAGATGAGCTCAAGATGCCCCTAGGTTTGAGAGAGTGTGGGGGGAGAGGGGAAGCAAGAATGTGTCAGTGTTGGCGTTCCTGGCCAAAGAGGATCCTTCCTGTCCCCTCCTCATGCTGAGCCTGGTGTCATATGTGGCAGGAATATAGAAAACCAGGAATGTATTCCTGGATAAAAATTCACACTAATGTCACAACTTGACAACACACCATTGGAGACCGAGTTGCTGGGCGTGTCTGCCTATGAAAGGGAAAAATCAAGAGAAGTGAGAGGAGCCTCAGGAATTTGGGAGCTGCGAAGGAGAAGTGATTCTGTTGGGCACCGTTAGGCTCAGTGGGAGACCTGGCAGTGATGTCTCCTAGTCATTCTCAGGTCATAGGACCCTTTGGAAATCTAAATGAATGCTGCAGACCTCTCAGAAAATAACATTTCAGAAGGTTTGCAGAGCTCTGACATCCGTGGACCTTGAGATAAGACCTCTTGCTAGAATGGCAAAACACCACAAACATAGTCAAAGACACTGACAGATTGAGAGAATGTATTTTCAACATATATCGCAGATAAAGGATTTATGTCTCTAATATATAAATGAAAGACCCAATAGATAGAGGAAAGACTTGGATAATTCACTGTGTGTGTGTGTGTGTATTATACTTAAACACATGAAGAGACGGTCAAACCCACTCATAATTAGAGACATGTGATTCCACTTTTTACCTGCGAGAATAGTGAAAACGAAAAATTATGACAACGTATCTGGTTGGCAAGGCTGTGAAGAAAAAGATATTCTCCCACATTGCCAGGGGGAATGCATAGTGATGTAACCGTTCACAAGGAGGCTTTGATTGCCCCTAACAAAACTACATATGCCCTGCCCTGCTGACCTAGCATTGTTCTTTCTATGTATCTACTTGAAGACACACCTTCAACAATGTAAAAATGTGTATCCACAAGGTTATTCTTTGAAGCATTATTTATTATTGAAAAATGTTGGTAGCATATGCCTGGGTTGAATATGTTGTAATAGCTTTGGGTCCAGGATACAAGACTTTAGTCATACTCAGTACAGACACAGAAAAAGTTCTGAATTGTCTGTTAGCTATAATACAAAGGCTCTTTGAAAGTACCTGGACAGGGGACATCAAGTAAGGAAACACAATGGTTGTTGATCACTTGTAGCATGTTGTGCTGTTGGAAAACTTGTTTTTTAATGGCATATGTTTAAGAGACTTAACATTGTACAATTTTTATGACTTTACTTAAATGAAAGGCTATTGGACTAGCTGCCCATTAAGCTTACCTATTTCTCACCCTAAGAGTCTGTGATTCTAAGGGAAATTTGCAGTGGTGAGAAAGTGCTTACTATTTGATGAAAAGGAAATCGTTGGAATGAATTCATTGTCACCAAAGGTGAAGAAATCTGAACTTTGCACTCTCAGAGTACAATTGGTGGCCATAAGCTGTTCTCCGGGTCTGCCAGGGCACTGTTGTCCCCACAGTGATGGCTGGCTCACAGTTCTTATCTCATACTAGAGGCCCGATGCATGAAAATCGTGCAAGAGTAGGCCTTCCTTCCCCCGGCTGCCAGCACCGGCTTCCCTCTGACACCCGGGACCCGGGCTTCCCTCAAAGCCCCTGGACGTCTGGTCTAATTAGCATATTATGCTCTTATTATTATAGATTATTGAAAGTGTGTGGCAAAGAAGTGACCAAAGCATTGGTGCCATACTGCTGAAGCTTAAGACAGGACTCCCTCCTAAGTATTTTAGCAGTTCTCTTAGAAAACTTATTGTGGGGGAATGCTATTAAATGTCTTACCCAACTAACATGACCGGTGTCTTATGTAAAGTCACCAGTTGTTTCTCTGAATTGAGATAGGTGGAGGAAAATTCCTTTTTATTAAGCTCTGTTAAGATGACTTATAGTTGCTGTTGTTCAGCTGTTCCTTTCTAAATATGCAAACATAGGAAAGTGAGGGATCCATCTAGAAATACAGAAGTTTCTTTATTTTCAGTGTACTTTGCTATGAACATGATCCTGGCTATTTCCGCAAATGTCATGAAGTAGGAAATATCTCATTTGCTCCATGTTGTGGACCCATAATTGCACAGTTCAGTGTAGAGGCAGTCCCATCCGAAGATGGGGGCCATCATCACTGCCCTTCTGCTGCCCTTCCATCTGCCTCTGCTTCCAGCTCAGGAAGCTCGGGGTTGGAGGAGCTCAGCAGGGTCTGGGCTAATGGCTCAGCAATACATCAGGCCCTGAGGAGCTTCGGACTGCCCTGCTTATACAGCTGACAGCCTGATGTATAGTCATTTCTCCCCTTAAGTGTTTGTGTGTTTTTCCTGCTCTAAACTGGTCTCATGGGAATGAATAAGATAATTGTATCCCGCCCCCCCCCTCCCCGAACATACAGCCAGTTTTTAATGGGAAATAAGATTACAGACGAACAGTATAAGAATGGTTTTTAAGACCCTCCTAAAATCTGCCAAAACTTTGGAGAAGTCCCAGAAGCTGCGTTTTATTCCAAAGCAGCGGTCAGGGAGAGGGTGTGTTGGATGGGCAAGGCAAAGAATTTGTTTACTGTCAATTTAAAAAACAAGTTGCACTACTACGTGATGTTTCTTATGTCCAATAGTTGATAGAATGCTGCAAACTATAGCACTTATTTCACTTGAGGTTGAAAGAGGGATCCATGGGAACTTTATCTTAAAAATCTATTCATTTAAGACAGATTTTGCAGGCAATGTTAGTATAGTAATGATCAGATGTCAGTATCTAACAAAATCTAGATGGTAGAAAGAAATGTTTAGAATTCTACCTCCTGAAAGTTAGAACATTGATAAAATATTGTAGGAAACATCGATTGGTTGCCTCCCATACACACCCTGACCTACCAGGGATCAAACCCGCACCCTTGGTATGTGCCCTGACCAGGAATCGAACCTGTCACCTTTCTGTGTATGGGGCAACTCTCCAACCAACTGTCCCACACCGGACAGGGCTGATTCTCAAACTCCCCTCCCCCTCCACTTAAACTTTTAACCACTAGTTTGAACATCCAGGATGATGTTGGAGATAATACGTGCTTGAGATAATTATTACTGTGATTATTGCCAAATGGTAATTTTTCTATTCTCATCCTTCTATGGTAAGTAAGAGCTTTCTCTGCTCCCCATTTACAAATAATGTCAGTCTGGCATCATGCTATAATTCATACTTTTTGCAAACATGGTAATGTTACACATAAGTTATCTGGAAGGTATTTGTTTTTAAGTTCATGGTCTGCAAAAGTATACCACACTGAAGCTTATGTAGAAAATGAAAGAATAGACCTGCTTTATATATGTCAGTCCATGCTAATCCCATCTCTCAATTTCAATGATGTTTTATTGCTGCCCGTGCTCACCTGTACTTGCCATTGCTCATTTGTTTTGTCTTCTCCCCTTTATGGGTTCTGTTTCCACCACAGAGCTTAAAGCCAAATGGCTGTGTGTGTGTGTGTGTGTGTGTGTGAGAGAGAGTGTGTGTGTGTGTGTTTAAGATTTTTTAATTGATTTTTAGAGAGAGGGGAAGAGAGTGGCTGCCTCTTGTCTGACCCTCCTGGGCATCGAGCCCACAACGCCAGCCTGTGCCCTCACCCAGAATCAAACCAGCAACCTATAGGTACATGGAACAGCACCCAACCAACTCCACCACACCGGCCAGCACCCAAATGGCTTTTACCTGGTATTTTTTGTAAGGGTTTTAAAGTGTTACATAAATTATCAAAAGTTGTAATAATGATTTCACTGCCTGTAGATTTAGGTGAACACTATATTGATAGTCTGTGTTTACCAGTTAAATCACTGTGAAAAGTAAATATTTTTTTATTCTTAGGGCAGGGAAAAAGAAATGACCCAGAAGGAGTTGAGTGTGAGCAGCTGTCTTTGGTCTATCAGTGTCTCCCAGCTGGTCAGTCTAATACAACCTTAACCTTATGGGGCTCCAAGCCATTTGCTGCACGCCGTGCACATTCTGCCACTGCCCTTCCCAATTTTCTGAATTCCTTCAGGAGGAAACTGGTTGTTATTGGTGGTGTTTCCCCTTATCCTCTCCCCCCATGTGAAGGGGGATGAAAGAAAAAAATAGCCCTTCTACGAAGTTTTGGAAGAAACTTTGGAAAGAAAATTGAGTATGTATTTCGAATGGTTAGGGACTGAGATACAGTACATCAAACTTCCTGATATATTTTTTAATGAAATTAAGATTACATTGCAACAATTTGTTTCTTGATTCAGAAGGTATTTATAGGGCTTTGGATGGATCTTCAGGCCAACATTTTAAACCACTATTGTCCCGATCTTGGGAAAGTTGGCTTTTCCAGGTCAAATAGAGAAGTGGAAGTTTTTTTGTTTTTTGTTTTTTTAATTTTGTTTTATTGCTTAAAGTATTACAAAGAGTATTATATATGTCTCTTTTTCTCCCTTGAGAAGTGGAAGTTTTTATTGATTATACTTATTTAAATTTGAGGTTTCCTTCAGTTCCCAATCTTTGTGACTACTAGTGAATTTCCAGAGTCATAAAGAATTCTCATTCATGAGCTCAAGTATTCAACAGAGCTCTGAGTCCTCCCTGACCGCTGATCTTCTTCCTGCAGGAGGACCTCCGGATGCCGTCGCATGAAGAACTGTTATGCATGGACCTCCCTGAGGATTGTCTGAGCATCAAAGGTATTTACTTATCACAAATCTTCATACTGGAAATATTCATGAAATTGCAAATTTTTTAGAAAGTGGAGAGCATACTAAACCCCCATGTACCTCACTCAGTTTCGGTGATTACCAGCTAATGACCAGTCTTGTAGCTATTGTTCCAGGTATTTCGGCTGAGGTAACTGATCAGTGACTTCTTTAGTATTTAATTATTTAAGTAGTAAGAAGGTAGCCATCTAATAATATAAGCTGTTATATTGTGAGTCTGCTTTGTTAATGTTTTAGAATGGAAGCTGCTTAAGACTCTGAATTAGGCATGTCTTTGTGTTGTAGTCCTTGGTCCTGCTAAGTAAGTACATTTTAAGTAACACTAATTACCTGTTCCAGTCAGGTACACTTTTGGCCTCTGTCATACTCTGCAGAGAAGAACAAAACCAATGATACTGTGCACTGACTTTGCAATTCTTCTTCTGAGTTAGGCATTTTTGTTGTTTGTTGCATGATTACTTTGCTCTGCCTTCATGAATTTATTTTTTATGATTACATGCTGATTTGGATTTATTTCTTTTGTGCAGAAGGAAATGTACAAATTACAACTGAAACTCTGTTAAAATCTACTGAACAAGTACAAGGTATGAAGGTCAATGAGACTCAGACAGATAATAATGATGGACACAAGAATGGCAATGTGAGTAAAGATCTCTCGGCTGGGCGCAGCGATTCCCCAGAAGTAGACAAAATCATGACCAGTGGTGAGGTTTCAGAAACCAGCACATTCGTTTCCCTAGAGCCTTTAAACTCTGTGAACCCTGGATTAACAGAAGCAACTCCTAAAGAAAAAGTATGTGAAGAATTAAAAACTTGTTCTTCTTCGTTGTCATTATTACCAGGGAACAGTGCCATTTGCAAAGTGGACAATGGGAAGGAAGAGTTGTGTAAGTTAAGCCTTGTCTGTGAAGCAGATGACAATCACCACCAGATTGTTGGCCACCATAATGAAAAACACGGTTCTGCACATGGCCGCCCCAGACCCATGAAAAATGTAGTTGTAGAACCCTTAGGAAAAAATTCTGAAGTTTCCTGTTTCAAATCAAGTTTATCTGGTCCAGAATCCAGAACAGCATCCTTAGAAAAATGTAGTTTTGCAGGTGATGGCTTGCTAAAGAGATCTGCTGAAAAGACAGAGAATTCCTGTTTTGATGGTGACGCTCAAAGCAAGAACTTGGCTTCTAGAGAAGAAAATGAAGAACAGTGTGTGAACTTCAGGTCTGAAAGAGGGGAATTCTTTCTTGTTAATGCCAAGCAACCAGAAGAGGATGCTGGTGGTCCTTGTTCTGGAGAAAAAAAGACTGTTGCCTCCCCAGAAGAAAATGTCCACGATAACTATTGCATTCAAGGCAGTATCCACACCGACAGCTCCAGTTCTCTAATGCCCAAGTCTTTTCCCGAAGCCACGGAAGTCACGTTTAAAAAAAAAGATTTGAATATCACTTCAGACATACAAGTTAGCTTAACAGACCCTGAGGGCCATAGAGAAACTTTTAGTAATATAAGCCATCCAGGCAGACACTCTGAAGAAAGCAGTTTTTCCTCCTCGATACAGACCGAAGAGCCAGAACAGACAACCACTATCGAGCCTGGTATGTTAAGTGAAAAGATTTACAGTAAAGACCCTAACTCCTTAGTCAGCACCCAGAGAAATCTGGAAGGTGACACCCAGTTAAAGGAAGCATCCTATAGTGACTTTATGATTGAAAAAAAAACCCTTGTGAGTTTAATGCCAGAGGACCAGATAAGTCTTATAAATGAGGAATCAAAACCCAAGAAAGATGCTGCTCAGCTATTACCATCTCTAGAATTTGGTTGCAGACCTGAGTCAGAAAAATCTGTACAGATCTCACAGGACAATATTCCACATTTAGATGAACAGAGCATTGCCTGTGAGTTGAATGAACTTCCCTCTACTGATGAACTGGTTCTAGACAAAATAGAAAGTGAATGTGTTTTAAATCAAGTGTCCCTTAATTCTCAAGATCATGCGACATTGTCAACTGACAAAGAGTTGCCTTTAGCACTAAGCGAGGATTCCCAACAGAGCCATCACCCTCCATTAGAGGATGGAGCCAGTGTCCTTACTGATATCCAAACCATCCCCATGAAGACAAAAATGAAAGATATCTCTCCACCAGGTGACAAAACCTGTGGTGCCTCGTCAAACAATTTCACCTTAAATATCAAACCAGGAAGCCTACAAAGAAAAAACGAAATGGCTGATTCAGGAACAGAAGACCTACATTCCAGACTTCTCTCATGTAAGAAAGAAGTAGCAGTCTTGTCTCCAGAGGTCTCTATCATGGATTGTCAGAGTGTTCAACCTCAGCATCTCTCTAGCTGCCATTGTGTAGGGGAAAATGCACCAGGAGAGAGCACGTGTTCTGCGTGTGCTGCTCATGAGTCTAGAAGAATCATCCTGGAAGGTGAAAACTCATTGATGATCAACCATGAAAATGCATTTCAGCACAGCGATCACTACTCCCCAGGAAGAGAAGACTCCGTGGAAAGAAGCACCCATAAAGTGAGTTGTACATCAGAGGGAAGTGAACTTAATGGAAGAGAAACGAAGGGCAGCCTTCCAGGAGATAAGATCAGAAACGAAAGGACAGTAGGTATGTTAAATAGTGAAGCTTCCAACAAAACCATTCACGGCACCAATCACATCCAACCCAGTGAGGAAGGGCTAGAATTAAAGGAACAGGATATACCCAAAGAGACTGTGTTTTATAAATATAACAACTCTGATTGTGCCACACAAGAGCTAAACCAATCTATAAACATTCCAAATCCTGAAAAACGATTGGAGCTGTCTCCTGCTAAGTGCTCCAGTTTTAAAAACATGAATCAAGCAGTTAAAACTCTTGATCAGAAGACAGATGAAGTCCTTGACTACCGGAGTAACCCAGACAGACCAGATGAGTATAGAAGTGAAGATAAACCAGCTAAGGGGACACTAGGTAATGACCAGAGACAGACCATCACAGAGCCTAACACAGGGGAAAGCTGTAACCAGAAGAATCTGCCATTCATTTCAGGCAATAAGAACTCATTGTCTGGTGGTAGTCGGAAGAAAGGCTATTTGAAAGGAGGCTTTGAAAGGATTTCTAGTTGTGATAAGTCCACAGCTGGTATGGTAGACATCGCCTGCACAAACTGTAATAAGCCTAGAGAAGGCATGCTGGACACACTTGGTGGTGTGCGGCAAGGTGGACTGGCATTAATTGAAACCTCAAGGAGTGCCCTGTCTCAGAGAGGAGACTTGAATGCTGCATTTACAGAACAAATTGACCAGGATTCAGAATTCTCAGATGCTACTTCCTCTGCAGCAGAATCTCTTGAAATAAAAAAATCATGTGAAGAGAAAGTTTGCAGATCGTTAAACGATAGTGAAATGGAAGTGCATCCAGACCCTTGTGCCAATGAGATAGAGTCTATTGCAGATCATGAACCAAATACAAGAATATTGGATGGAGTAAATGTGTCTTTAAATCATAGTCATCATGAACAGCAAGTTAAAGAAGCATCTCTGAGAGAAACACAAGAAATGGTTGAAAAATCAAGACTAGAAATACATTCTGAGTTTGACAAGGAAAATATCTTTGGAATTTCCTCAGAAGAGTTGGTGTCTAGAAGACACCAAGATGAGAACTCGGTTCTCCCAGAGAGCCTGAAATCCATTGAGATAATGCCGTTGTGTCTATCTGCTCAAGAAGCATCAGAAGCTAATGTTAAAAGTGAAGAAACTGACATGAAAAAATTTTTTAAACCAAAAGATGGTGAAATCCTTTGTGAAAATGTAGAGGATTGCACAGTCCTGCCTGAGATGAAGGAAGAAGTACCAAGGAATAGGAGTAATCCCGGCAAAGGAAACAGCATTGACATCAGTATGAAAATTTTGCCTTTGATGATGAAAACAGAAACTAAAGTGAAAGGGGAAGAAGCCAAAGAAGATCAGAGGGGACCACTAGATCACTTACCTGTTGGGGAGGAATCTGACGAGAGGATTAGCAGAGAAGATGGTCATGGTGATGACAGAAGTGAGATTTCTCAGACACACTGTAAATCCCTGAGGATGTATGGTGACGTTGAAGAACAACAAAGCCAGAGGGATTTGGACTCCATGTTGCAGAAGGCAGAGGAGTATGAACATCAAAAAGAAGCACATACACTATTGGAACAATGTACATCATCTAATATGTTGTCAGATGAAGTGCAAAATCAGAACCAACCTAAGGATTACAAATGTGAGTACACCAGGATGAAAGAAGTCACCCCAGCACAGCTGGCCCAGGGTAACATTACCGCACGGCTTCAGAAGTTGAAAGACCCAAAGGAGGAAAAATTACGTCATCCATTAAAAAAGGACATTGAGTTGTGCATAGGTCCTTGCCTTCATAGTGCCCCCCAGAAATCCCAAGACCCCAGCTCTGCTAGGTGTTACGAAATACACGGTGCCTTTGGGAACACTTCCCATCAGAAAGAAGTGCTTCCCTTGAAGAAGCAGCCGCATCGAGCATGTAAGAAAGTTCCCTGTCAGGAGCAAGTCAACATGGGAAGGAAAATAAGTAAAATCAGGAATTCTGCCTTTTTAAAGAATTCCTCTGAAACCATCCCCACAAAAGCACACAGACTTCTCAGCTCACCTGCTATGTCTGCACCCACACGACTGGAACCCGAAACAGTACCTAGCGGGAGCCTAGTTAGGCACATACCAAAGCAGAAGGCTACTCCGTGCCATCTCTTAAGGAGCCTGAACGTCAGGAAGCCCACCAAAGAATCAGCCTTACTCAGCAAGCTATCCGTCCTTGCCTCCAGGCTGGCCCCAGCCTCAAAGACCCACAAACTAAGGTATCGGCGGTGTTCTTCTGAACTCCTTCCAGTGGCTAAAAGCTACAAGCGGCTCAGATGTAAAAAGCTCCTGGATGGATTTTCAGACACTATGATGCAGCTGAATCCATATTTGACAGCTAGTGGATGGGATAGGAGGCCTAACAATAAACCCTTGACACTTTATCCACTCGAAGCCATCAAAATGAGCTTCATAGATTTGAGCAACAAGATGCCATTGCTGCTGTTCGGTTCTGGAATCTTCCCCATATCCTTTCACGTGAAATCAGGCTCCGAGCGCATGCCTGAGTCCCCACGGACTTTTCCTGAGCACTGTGCTCCGGCGAGGCTTGCCTTAGGGGAGGCCACCCCTTGTCCTTCTCAACCTCCCAAGTGGACCTTTTCCTTCTTCTTGTCCCACGGTTGCCCTGGGCTGGCCACATTCAGGGAAGACACTGGCCTCCATGCTCAGGCACATTCCCAGGCTCCTCCACAGCCTCCAGCTCCTCTCCAAGACTACGGAGGCACCGCCATAGTCCAGACCAGAACAGGCTGCTCTGTCCTTGGCCTTCACACTCTCCTAGCACTTTGTTCCCCGGGATGTTACCGAATCTGGACAAAAAAACGGAGCTTCTCCAGTCACATGCCTACCATGCAGAGGCTCTTCATGACTCAGTTTACACAGGGCTTGAGGGGGTTAAGGTCTCCAGCCTCCATAGCAGACAAGATCTTCTGTTCTCTGCCCTATTCGGTGGGCCGAGTGCTCTCCGTTTGGAGCCAGCATGGGCCTTCTGCCTGCCCCTTCGAAACCTCTGCTCTGCATTCCACTCATGGCAAGCGACCGCCAACTCTGGACATCACAAGCAGGTAAACTGTCCCCTGTTCTTTGTAAGTGTTCCGTCTTTGCTGCCTGCCATCAGGGAGAGGGAGGGCCACTGCTGGATATGCAGGGCTATTGGGAGCTGTGTCTGCATTCTGTTTATACCTTGCCCAGTCTCTGCTGAGAAAATGGGGCAGTAATTTAAATGCAGACCCCTCTAATTTCCTGCCGAATCCTTTATTTGGTGCCATTCTTTGTTCTGTTCCATTCATTCTGCAAACCATCAAATCTTTTGAATGTCTTTTCTCCTCTTGTCCCTACTCTGAACAGAACAACATGACAAGTTAAGTAGTGACAAATAATGGCTTGTCACTATAACTTGTTCACAAAGTATTATATAGCCAGCACCTAATTCAGAGTTTGGTGTGTAAAGAAAGGATACGAAGAAATACTTTTTTAACAAGTTAATTACATAGGCGTCACCAAATCTGGTTTGTGAACCTTTGCATTTCTTTCTGGAACAGAAAGGCTTCAAAGATTGGCATTTACATACTATAGTTGCAGAATTTATAGAATTTTACGTGAACTTGGAAGAGAGTTCTTGTGGTTTGACCACTAGGAAAATAATTTCACCAGTATCATTTTACCTTCTAATTGAAAGTTAGAGAAGAAAAAGAATTGAGAGTTATATCCCTAAAGATCTGCTTTAGATGTAATAGATACATCCTCCTGTTTGTAACCCTTTGAGTAAATAGAGACTTTAAACATGTTTTATGTTGCCCGAATGATTCTTTCCCCCTCCTTTCTCTTACTGCCCTCTGCTTATTGCTACCTTCTTTCCATCTAAGTGAGAAAATCATCTCCCTGTCCGCCGGCCTCCATTCCAGTGATGAGCACATAAATGAAATGCTCCCAACTGGGAGATTGTCATCTTTCTGAGTGACTGACATTTCTTATCTTCCTGGGGCTCTAATTGACCATCATGTGCTAAATGCATAATGACATCAAAACGTTTTCTGTTGTTCCGCTGCCCTAACCTATTGCTCATGTACTTTTGTTTCGCTTCAGCCACACCATGTTACCATATGTGCCTCTTCCAGGCATGGAAGCTGCTTACAACACCAGTGGCAGTCAGATGAGGTAAGTCCAATGGTGCTGGCGCGTGAGGACTTGCAGAGTGAGTGAGTGTGCGTGTGTGTGCGTGTGTGTGCGTGTGTGTGTGAGAGAGAGAGAGACTATGATAGCGGATGGTGTGGATCAGGCCTGGTGCGATTCTGAGCTTTTGTTTTTCTTCTAAACCAGAGTGAATCTTAGATTCAAATGTGTTTTATTATAAGTAAGAACTAAGAATATGTAATTGTGTGTGCGTGTGTGTGTGTGAGAGAGAGAGAGAGAGAGAGAGAGAGAGAGAGAGAGAATATGATAGCGGATGGTGTGGACCAGGCCTGGTGCGATTCTGAGCTTTTGTTTTTCTTCTAAACCAGATTGAATCTTAGATTCAAATGTATTTTATTATAAGTAAGAACTAAGAATATGTAATCAATACCAAATAAGGGGGGGAAATCAAAATCACTTAGCCAGCTCATTATACTGTAAGTTCCCTCTCAAGCTATTTTTGGTCATTTAGCCCAACTTCAGTGCCTGGATGGGATTGATCTCATCTGCCTACATTTCATTTGTTTCGTTCACTAAATGTCTTCTCCCTTCCAAAAAATCTGTTTCTTTTTACATTTTTCCTTATTCATTACTTTTTCCTTATTTTATCGCTCCATACCAATGAAATGGATTGACCGCATTCTTGTAAATTTTTATATACGCAGACACAGGCTGTGTCCAGATGTGACTAGAGATCAGGTTGAAATGTCATTGCTGGCAAAAGGCTTCAACCTAGTCTGGGGGTTAAGTTGAATGTGCTGAGGTAGAAAGTGAGTCCAATCCTTTCTCTTGTGTTTTTCTCTCGGTGCTGCTAGGCTAGAGCCTCCATTCCCTGCCCTGGTACCAAAGTCGTGCTTGGTAACAGACTCGGCTGTCGGCAAGCTCCTGCTGTCAGCCTCTGAGTTCCCGGTTCCTGGATTAGATGAACTGGATGGTGTGACAGCAGCGCGCCCCCGTCCACAGAGCAGCTCTCCAGAGCAGAAAGAGGTGAGTGTGAAGTGCTCTGGGGTCAGGTGGCAGAGGCACTGGAGATGGCCATCGATGACGACAGATCACGTGATAGGTACACATGGGCCCTGACTGCCTTTACTTGCCACCTTTAGCTTCAGCTGAGTCCTGGAGAGTACCAAGAGGAGGTTTTTTGTTTGTCCACTACAGGCTACCCTGGATCTCTTCATCTACATTGTTTTCTGGATCTTTTTTTCTTAATGACAGAATTTAACAATGTTTAGAGAATTAGACCACAGTGCTGCTTCATGCATTCAAAGAGGATGAGTGAATGACGGCATTTTTCAGTTTTGCAATATCTGCTGTATCCAACAGATAATGATAGGGTTCTCTTTTAATAATATAAAATAGGGTAGTTGCTGAAAACACTGGTGGCAGGAGTAGCAGGGGAAGCTTTGTCATAAACTACTTATTAGAGTCATCTGTAAACGGAGGATGTGATATCTTGAGGGTAAAAAAAGGGACTTTATATTTTTTAAAACATCTTACAACTTGACGTATCTTTCTTTTTAACCCTTAAAAATAGGCTGAGCCAGAGAAGAGGCCAAAGAAAGTCTCACAGATTCGCATCCGGAAAACCATTCCTAAGCCAGACCCTAATCTTACCCCCATGGGCCTCCCTCGCCCCAAAAGGTGAGCTCTTTCCCTAATACACATAGCTTCACTCTTTTGGAAAATCGTTTGGCATAATACAATGACCTTTTAGTGATCTACTAGTCTACTCTTGAGCTATTTTACTCCTAAGGTTGACCCAAGAATATCCGTTGGCAGTGTGGCCCAGAGACTTATGTGCAGAGGTATCTCACCACACTCCTAATCATCTGCATTGAGCTCACCATTGAGCTCACCATGCACCCTTTGGGTGCATACTCTGTTTGCCCTTCAGTGGTGCTGGGAGGAAAACACTGTTGTGTAGGTAAGTGTGCTGAGCTTCCTGGGTTAGGAACCTGGTAGGCCATAGTGCCAGTCATGACACAGGTGGTTTCGGTCTCACACAGGTCTTACCCGACCCCACAGCTCAAGCTCACAATATTCTGTGCACAAAACTGGGAAGGGGCCTAAATGTAATGAAGGAAAGAAGTAAATTTTTTTTTAATATATTTTATTGATTTTTTTACAGAGAGGAAGAGAGAGGGATAGAGAGTTAGAAACATCGATGAGAGAGAAACATTGATCAGCCGCCTCCTGAACACCCCCTACTGGGGATGTGCACGCAACCAAGGTACATGCCCTTGACCGGAATCGAACCTGGGACCCTTGAGTCCGCAGGCCGACGCTCTATCCACTGAGCCAAACTGGTCAGGGCAAATTTTTTAAATTTTTTTCCGAAAATACCAGATCCATGTTATGGTCTACTTATAGCCTTAAAAGATTTTGTTTCTAAAGATTTATTATTTTTATTTTTAAACTGGACCAACACATGTCATAAACCATTTGGTCATTTTATTTATTTATTTTTTTTGTTAATCCTCACCCAAGGGTATTTTTCCATTGATTTTTAGGGAGAGTGGGAGAAGGAAAGACAGAGAGAAACATCGATGTGAGAGAAACACATCAATCAGTTGCCTCCTGCGTGAGGCCCGACCAGGGCTCGGGCTGTGGAGGAACCTACAACTGAGGTACATGACTCTGACCAGAATTGAACCCGGGACCCTTCGGTCCACAGGCCAACACTCCATCCACTGAGCCAAACTGGCTAGGGCTCTAAATATTTATTTTTTTATGACAGAGACCATTGCTAATCCTATAAAGTGAAGAGGGGAGAAAAAACAGATTCCAAATTATGTATTTAGCCTGAATCCAATTTTATGTGTTACACGGACACATTATGACAATTGAAACATTTTTTAAAAGACCTCCAGAGCTCTATTTTCATGTAGTGGATCTCACTCCTTCATTTCTCATTGGCAAATAGAAGCCTAACATGGTCCCTGAAGTCACCCCAGGTAAGTTATTTAATAACCTTCCTGAGCTTCTAGAAACTTTTCTGTAAAATGTGAGTAAGAATTCCCAACACTCAAGGTTGCTGTAAAGTCCAATAGAGATTCCAAAAAAAATGTACTGTAGCTATTATACTGGTTTACACAACACATAAGCAATTAATCGTTAATTATTACTATGATCATGATTCATGTTTTACTTTTCCCATGTGGTTTTCATCTTACTGTATTTTTATCTTATAGTTCTATTATTGATCATTACTAGAATAAAATAGGATTCAGAATTGGATGTATTCTACCTTGTAGATAAAAGTTCTGAAAACCAGCCTGGCTGGCATGACTCAGTGGTTGAGCTTCGACCCCTGAACTAGGAGGTCACGGTTCAATTTCTGATAAGGGCACATGCCTGGGTTTTGGACCGATCCCCAGTGTGGGACGGGCAGGAGGCAACTGATGATTCTCTGTCATCATTGATTTTTCTATTTCTCTCTCCCTCTCCCTTCCATTCTGAAGTCAATAAAAAATATATATATTTTTAAAAATTTCTGAAAAGCAGTTCTGGCTGGGTAGCTCAGTTGGTTTAGAGCATCCTCTGATAATACCAAGGTTGCAGGTTTGAGCCTGGTAAAGAACAGTAAATCTATCTCAATCTGTCAGTGTTTTTCAGTGGCTATCAATAGCACAAAAAGGGTGAAAACAGGGGTCATGTCCCTTGTGATGGAAGCATACAGCACCATCTAAAAGTCTTCCTAGTCAAACACACCTTAATCTGATTATGCCTCTATATTTAATTGCCTGTCTATAGGAAACATCTATAGTATTCCCATATGTTTAGGTCAAAGAAGCATGTTAAATGACACCATGTAGATGGAATGAAGTAAAAAAATCTTGACTGGGGAATCCAGATTACCTGATTTCTTCAACAAATAAATTACAAAATAAAAAAGGAGACAAAATAGAGCACTAATAACATAAATTGGGACAGTACTGATCTGATTTAGATAGAAGTTCCAGGGTCCTTGTGCTGTTGGGAGAAGGCTAAAAATATTGATGCACTTTAGTTTCTAAGTTCAATATATTCATAAAAGTCTTGCCAACCACTAAAAGAATAGAAGAGTGTATGATTCCCAAGCCAGGAGATGGGCTGCAAGGGAGACAGCAGCAAGTGCGGTGGGGGCGGGAGAAGAAAAAGAAGCAGTAAGTTAAGAAAATAGTTATGAATTCAGCTGTATCATTCCCAATAAGTATAAATGAGCTAAATTTCATAACATTGAAGAATGGCAGCCTGGGGGGAAAATCCAGTATATGTTCACATGAAACGCATCTAAAACATACTACAGAAAGGTCGAAAGTAAATTAATGGACAGAGTTAGGAAGCTAATCTTATCTCTTGTAAGAGACAAACATTTTGTTCTCGTTTCAGGTTAAAGAAAAAGGAGTTCAGTTTGGAAGAAATATATACCAACAAGAATTATAAGTCTCCTCCTGCAAACAGGTAGGTACACATGAGTAGGCAGTAATACATGGGGAGGGCTTCTGAGATGATTGATGTAAATCTCAGTTCTTCCCATGTCAGGTCTTGGAAATTACTAGAATTGTTGCTTTTAGTTCCCAGCATTTGAATTGGGGTCGGTGGTGGGATGGGAAAGAAATGTATATTGGGTTAGTTAATACAGAAAATGTAGTCTCCTTTTAGTTTGTACTGGAGTTTTTACTGAATATGCTGGCTGTCTTTTGGACTAATAATCACTGATATTGCATATGATTCCGAACACAGAAAAGGTTTTACTTGACTGCCTTTGGGTCTAAATTCAGTTCAAGTCATTGGACTGTATTCCCATCCCCCCAAAAGTAAATATCTGAGGTAATGAGTGTGTTAACCCCAATGGGTGAATCCTTTACTAGTGTGCAGTTATATCAAATCACAGTATTATGCTTTTAAATATCTTACAATTGTAGTTGTCAGTTATACCTTGATAAAGTTGAAAACACACACACACACACGTAAAAAAAAAAAGATACTGGCCAGAGGAAATAGTTGCCTACGGAGTTGGTGCAAACAGCTCTCAGCCCCTGTTGACTAGAAGTGTGGCCCTATGAGTTGGTGTGTTGGTGATTGTTTTGTGTTCCACTCTTAGGTGCTTAGAGACCATCTTTGAGGAACCTAAGGAACGAAATGGTACGCTAATCTCCATCAGCCAACAGAAGAGGAAGCGAGTTCTCGAGTTTCAGGATTTTACTGTCCCAAGAAAGAGGAGAGCTCGTGGGAAGGTCAAGGTGACAGGCAGCTTCACCAGAGCCCAGAAGGCAGCCCTGCAGAGTCGAGAGCTGGATGCCCTTTTGATACAGAAACTAATGGAACTGGAGACCTTCTTTGCCAAGGAAGAGGAAGAGGCGCCATCACCTGGGTGTTGAGAAGCAGTTTGGTTGGGGCGTCTCAATGTTAGATTTCCCAGGCCTCCTGGGGAGAGGTTGCATCAGTTTGCCCAGTGCCCAAACCACTCAAATTGCAACCCATGGATTTTTACTGCTTCAAGGTGCAGCCTCTTTAGAAACTGGTGGCGGAGGGCCCTCTACTTCTACTGCTGAGTCTAGAACCTCAGGAAAGCTCCCTTCCTCCTGGAAGTGGTCCTGAGTGACATCGGGCCGCCGCCTCCCACACTCTGCCATCCACAGAGGAAGGCGCAGCGCACCTTCAACAACACTAGATTCCAAGGACTCCAGCACTGGCACGGCCCTGTGAAAGCTCCACGCTGTTTACAGTGGTGCTAGACCAAGATTGCTCACAGATGTTGCCTAGGGAGGGGGCCTGGCGTCCTCGCCTGAGTGGCCTCACAGCTCATTTCGGTAGCTGAGGAACGATGAGCCTGTGGTGTTTTCTAATCCTTTGAGTCCGTCTGCCCAGAACCTGGGGTATATGTGTGTGTGTATGTGTGTGTGCGTGTGTGTGTGTGTGTGTGTGTGTGTGTGTGTGTGTGTGTGTGTCTTTTTCCCTTCATTTTTTTCCTCCCCTCTGTGACTGTGGGTCACTAGTGCCAGAGGGGCCATCCAGGCCCCATTCAAAGTAAGTTGCACTTTTTAACGTTGTGGTGTTATTTTCATTTGTTTTATTCCTTTTTTTTAAATTGCTGCATGTTCAGAGCCTTTAAATGTGATTTTAAAACAATTTTTTAAGACATTGAGGAGAAAGATAATACATGTCTGCTGAATAGATGGTAGATGTTTGACCCAGTGTATCTGCATGGTCTGGGACAGTGGAGAGACACTTTTCCATCCACGTGTTTCAGCAATCCCTTCCCCATCTCTCTCTCTGCAATTCATTAGAGGGAGTACTTTTTTCATCTGGGTTCTCATTCTTGCGTGCTAAGTAGATGTATTGATTTTAATGACGGAAGTAAGAGCAGGTTTCTCTCCCAATCATTTTTAAAGTGTGATGGTTGGGTGTGGTCTTTTAATGGATTTTATCTGAAGTGTTGGAATGTAACAAAGTTGGGTACAACAGTATAGGCGGTGGTAGAGGCCGACCAGCGTGTTTGCAGCTGTCGGAGCAGCCGGCCCTGAGAGTGGGGAGGGGCCGCCACGGTTCAAGCTCAGTGGTGTGTTCTTGCGGTGGGATCACGAAATCCCACGGCCGGCCGGCCCCTCTGAGGACACCTCTTTGTTCTCTGGGCTCCTGTGTCGAACCTACTGGAAATGTAGAATGCCCGTGCTTGCTGAGCTGCTTCTGTGCCCACAGGAGTCTGGGCAGAAGGATGCTGTGTGGGTTAGCAGTCCCAGAGGTTTCATTCCTTTCCCACTAATCCCTGTGTGCCCGCACCCTGCTTCCCCTGCCCTGCGTCCCTTGTGTTTTTTTTCCTTCTCTCTCTCTCTCTCTCTCTCTCTCTCTCTCTCTCTCTCTCAACAAGAGTTCAGAGAATTACATTCCTTGGCTGGTGAATGGAGTACTAGACGCAGCTTCAGGACACTGGTCACCTCTCCCTGTCCTCCTCAAAGCCTGCAGAAGCCGCTGCCCATGGGAACTGTCCCAGCGCCTCGCACTTGCAGCCAGGCTGCTAGAGGAGAGAGAGAGGTGCCGCCCTGGGATGTGTCTCCTAGGTTTCTTTTGTTCCCCATTTGTCAGTGGGGAGACGGGTGGGGTGGGAGGTCTCTATGTGCCTTTCCTTTGCAGGTTGACAGTCTGTGCCACACTGGAGCAGTGAGACGGACATGAGCCGGAAAAAACCAAGTGCACCTCTGTCTTGGGCCCGTCTCAGACAGCGCCTAGTAAGTCCCTTACACACCTGGGAGTCCCCGAGGCTTCTCAGGCCAAGGCCAGATAGCGTTAGGAGGAGCCGGGCTTCCCGCCGGCTCTGAGTGAGTGAGTCCGTTCTGCCCTTGCACATCCACTTGGCCTAGAGCCCTAGACTGTATGGACACGACCGGTGTTCACCTCGGTACTTCTCCCTTCCTGGGACAGGGCCCCTAATGCCTCTGTCTTCTTGCTTTAGGAGGGGGTGAGTGATGCTGTGTGCCCTTGTCCAAACGTGTTTAGGGAAGTACTGCTGGATGAGCTTGCAAGCTCCCAGTGAGTCCACAGAGCCCTGTTTGCCAGCACCCGTGCGGTGTAGCCGAGTCAGCGATGTGGTAGCCACGCATCCTGCAGGCTGAAGTTGAGATGGGCACACTGTGGTATCATCAACTTTACAATTACGACTTCAAGTTTGCCCGTTAGCGGCAGGGCATTTTATGGGCCAGCAGCAGTGATTTGGGACATTGGTGTCTGGGAAGGGAGAATTGGAGGAAATGGAGACCTAGGTTCCTTCCTCGTCCTGGGAATGTCCGAGAGAAGCTGCTCTGAGGCCAACCTGTCTACCCCTGAAGTTCTCGGCATGCCCTCTGGTTAGGGCCTTTCCCCGCCGCAAAGTTAAGAATGGGTCCCCACTGCGAACTTGCCGTTGCTTGCCTAACGTCGCTAGAAGGGTTCTAGCCATGCTCAGGCACACGTGTCTTACCTCTGTCCTCCCCATTGGCTAGCAAGCGGCAGCGCTGTCGGTGGTCCTCGGAGCCTGTGGGACACGCCAATGATTAGGGATGTGAGTCAGCTGCTGGCACACGGCCTGCCCCGAGCGTCTGGTTCTGGTGGGCCCTGGTACAATTCCTAAGTTTGGGGACTCCCTTCCGAAGTGGCAGGGAGTTCTAGTTAACCATAACTTACTCTACTCCGGTGTAGTGTCATTAATGTGGGAAAGAGGAGAAATCTCAGGTCCAGTTGGGGTTTCACCCATCAGTTTTTCACCGAGACTTTGAACTATGGGTTTTCTCGTCTGAGTTTACAGCTGTATTTGCTTTCCCACCCACCTTCCCCATCTCTGTTCCTTTGGCCTCCTTTCCAGCTTCATTTCTTCATACCTCATCACCTTTTAAACCAGATTATGTCCACTTTTTCTTACTGACCTTGCTCTGAGAGCTACAGCTGAGGGAGGTACAGTGGAAAGACATGTAGCGTTTGCCTTATTGGAGCCTGAAAAGCTCAGAAACTCATGCTGTGAATCCCAAAGCTCTGCGCTCCTCCAAGAGCTGTGAAATCATGACACTTTGTCACATTTTTTTTGCCTGAAAGAGCCTTGAGTGGGTGCCAGAGCCAACCTGAGGTCAATTCCAGATCCCATTCTCCAGGCACGACCCCCCGTCCCCCACGGCTCCGTCCCTGCCCGCCAGGCCAGGAGCTGCACCAAGGATGCAGGGCTGGGGCGGGTCCTCGAGCTTTGGGCAGCCTCGTGGCACACGGAGCCCGCGGTCGTCTCCAGGCCAGAATGCCACCTCACAGTCCCATGTGCATCAGCGTCCGCAAGAGACCAACTTTCGGCCGTGGTCCTTTTCTCCCGCTCCCGGGGTGGGAGGGTGGATGCAGTTGGTGCTTTTAAAATTCTCCTGTTTTGTTTCTGTAAGCTTTTCCCCTGGTATCATGGAAAGGACCTCCTCATCACCACCTTGTGGGTGGCTGTATCCAAAGTCTAAATAATTGGCCAGATAATGTGGAGCAACCTTTCCTGAACTCATGGGAGGGAAGGGCTCCTGCCCCACAACTGAACTTCTTACGTAAAAGGCTGGCTGGGGAGGAAGGCTCCGTTTTATCACAATCAAATGTAATGGTCTCCAACCACAGATGGAGCAGCAAAGGCTATTCGGCGGTAAAGTGAGGGCCCCCGAGTAGTCCACCATCCAGCACAGCATAGTCCGATCTGATGCTTGTTCGTTGTGTGTCTTCACGAGTCCCTCTCTGGTGCTGAATTGGATTTGAATTTTGGTGAGAGGCCTCCGCATCTCCTTGGGCTGGGCTGGCCAGTAAGTAGCTGCCTGCCGTGTTTATATATTACCACGATCAATAGTTCAGTGAGATTTTGTACATTTTTTGGTAACATTGGCATACATGATGCCCCTGCAGCTCCTGTTCTGTTTGGTAGTTTGTGCCTCTCAAATTCCCACTGTTATGTGTGTTAATTTATGAAAATAAAGAATTTTTGAAACCTTTCAAGTAACTCTCCAGGCTGTTATTTTATTCTTATGGCTTGGCATTAATAAGTTAAAATTCTGCCTGTAATGTCATGAGGCTGGTTTTTTTAAAATAGACATCACAGCCAAACCGGTTTGGCTCAGTGGATAGAGCGTCGGCCTGTGGACTGAAGGGTCCCAGGTTCGATTCCGGTCAAGGGCATGTACCTTGGTTGCGGGCACATCCCCAGTAGGGGGCGTGCAGGAGGCAGCTGATCGATCTCTCTCATCGATGTTTCTAACTCTCTGTCCCTCTCCCTTCATCTCTATAAAAAATCAATAAAATATTTTTTAAAAAAATTAAAATAGACATCACCAAGTTATCATCAGAACAGGTATCATACCTTCCAAAGCGGCCACCAGGTCCTGAGGACTGTCCTGTCTCAGGACGTGTGGCACTCCGCCTTCACGAGCCTTCTTTGCTACCATGAAGCTTTTCTTCCTTCCCTTCTCTTTGTGTCCTTTTTTTGTTGTTAATTCTCATCTGAGAATATTGTTTCCATTGATTTTTTAAAATTGATTTTAGGAAGAGAGAGAAACATCAGTGATGAGAAAGAATCATTGATGGACTGCCTCCTGCACGCGCTCTACTGGGGATCGAACCCACAACCCGGGCATGTGCCCTTGCACTTGTTCGGTTTCACCATTACTTGAGGAGTATTCTACACTTTTCCTCTGTTTAGAAGGCAGAGGCTAGTTACCAATTAAGGTGGTGTTATTCCTTTAACATCTTCCATCTCAGAATCTTAGCATTGGTAGGTCCTCCTGAGAATAAGAGGACTAGTCCAAACTGTTTTAAGAATTCTCTCAACTCCTGGACATGGACAACAGTGTGTGACTGTGGGGGTTGATAACAGGGCATAGAGGGGATAAATGGTGATGGGAAAAATTAAATTAAAAAATGATGGGTCTTAAAAAAAGAAAAGGTCTCTGGTGTCCTGCCCTCTGCTAATATGGAGACCTCGTTTCTGCAGTTCCTTCTGGGACTTCTCTTGAGAAGTGTTCTAGAAAATTCTTCAAGCAACTTCCAGGGGTCATAGGTGAGTTTTTCATATCCTCAAATTCCAGTGTCTTCTCCCTCCTCACTGACAGTTGATAACTTTGCATTTCACTGAGATAGAACCTATTTGAATAGAACTTGAGCACGGAACCTTTGCAGTTACTTGAACAGACTATTGTTAAATATAATTTTTAACCAATTTTTTTAAATGGAGAAAAGGGTCCATTAAGGCAAACAAAGGGGCCACAAACGCAGTAATGCAGCTCAGCCCCCACCATTCAGTTTGCAAAATCACAGGGATTGCATGCTGGTTCTTAAATATTAGGCTAATTCTGCCCCCTAGTGGCAGTAGGGACATTTCCGAAGAAAGCAATGCCCAGGAGCTGTTGGTCATTCATCATGGCAAAAAGGGCAAATCCAGCCTGGCCTGGGTGGCTCCGTGGTTGAGCATCCACCTGTGAACCAGGAGGTCACTTTTCGATTCCCGGTCAGGGCACCTGCCTGGGTTGCAGGCTCGATCCCCAGTGATTCTCTCTCATCATTGATGTTTCTCTCCGTCTCCATTCCTCTCTGAAATATATTAAAAGAAAGAAAAAGGGCAAATCCAGCAGGAAGATATAACAATCTCGAATTCTCATAAACATTAAAATATGTTAAATAAAAGTTGTCATAACTAAAAACACATAGCTACACATGGAGGTATGACCATCTCTGCCTCCACTGGCCACGCTGCTCCCCGGCCGGGTTTAGGACAGCGGGAGCGAGCACCTCCCACACCTGCCCTACCCGGCTGGTGGGGCGGGGAGGCCTGGGGGAGGGGCTCAGTCGACTCCGCCCACAACCCCTCCGCGTTCCTCATTGGCTCCGTGAGCTCGAGACTCGTGACGCCACATGCGTGCGCCGCTCGTGCGGAAGGGGGCGTGGCCCAGTGGGAAGGAGGAGGCAAGATGGCGGCTTCCGTGGGGCAGCGGTGCCTGAGGTTGCTGCGTGAGGTCGCGCCCTGGCGGAGCAGGTACCCTGTTTGGAGGGGGGCGGCCTGGGCCCAGCCGGGGTCGGGAGGGAGGAGTCGTGT